ACCCAAGAACTAAAACAGAGCTCCATACCCTTACAACCACCCAAGAACTAAAACAGAGCTCCATGACACACAGGATTCTCCATATGAACCCCAAATAAATTTGAAAAATAGCTGAAATTTGCTGAAATTTCAAGCATTGTGCTGCAGTGCTGATACTCGTGTTAAAGCCTTAAGAATTCCATCCCATACACGTCCACCAAGGCCTGCCCAATCTGCATATACACCCTTCATGATATGCAGAACTCTCACATAATTAGAATGGTGCATGTGGCATGCAATGATTTATCATAATTAATTTAGACTCTATACATTTTTCATTCTATTTTATTTTGAAATTCAATCTCAACGAGAACATATACAGGATTTATTTCTGAAAGGTTTTTCAAGTATCAATATTTATTTCTTAAAAGGTTCAAATCTCTGTGATTAGGTAAGTTAAAATAGGCACCTTCAGTGATTACTTTGAATCCAATAGTAGCTCAATGGAAAGCAAAAACTTTGATTCTGGCCTTGGGAAGATTTAAAACTACGAAACTACTGATTGGAAATCCTCTAGCTCCCTTGAACAGATCAGAAATGAGATTCACTGGGAACAATAAGCAAGTGAAATCCTCTTACTCCTTTCTAAAGCTCTTACATTTAATAAGATGTAATGGTTAGGCGATCCAATACAACAATCACCTATGAATGTAATCAGAAATAAATCCAGATGTTTTAAATGCACATCACTGTGAATTTGATCATGGAAGGTCATAAAAAATTAAAAAGATTTCGAACTGTAAAAGCTAATACAACTACTTCGATCAATAAACCTAGGTACAAAACAGTAAGAAAATCTTGAATTTAAAATCAAGAGTAAGCTCCAAAGGAACATCAATAGAAAGAGAAATATTTAAATAATCACATTAGTTTCATAAGATTCTAATTGCATGTAAATATTGGCAATGCACAAACAAGCTACACAAAGCAATGACACAATGAAAAGGAGTTAGCACAAAGAAAATGGACAAGAAACCCACAGGTATAGCACAAACTATAGAAATTAGCCATATGCATACCTGCTCTGAAATTTCCTCCCCTGCTTTTCTGATAAACAGCGCTTCAGACTCAAGGACTGGGAAATCAACCTCTTCAAATGCAAACAAAGCAGATACCTTCAAAAAAGAGGATCATAAGAAGTTAGGCAGTAAGAAAACATGAACAGCACAATCTTCAACAGAGAAAATAAATACCTCTCTAAAGTTTTGGAAGAGCCAACTTCGGAGACGCATCTCCTCTGGAGGGAAATCTCGGGTCCCCCGTGGTGGATTGACATCAATGGCCACATTTTCTACAGTCGGTGACGAAAAAGCTTCCAAACCGCCATGTCGTTTGTGTGCAATTGAGTTCCCTTTATCAAGGGAATTTGAATTATAAACGGCAGTATCTGAAATTATACTTAACAGAAGAAGTTAGCAACAGTTAGAAAGTGCACATTTACATATTACTTCAGGACTAAAATATAAACTAAGAAGTTCTATAGACTGGTTATTGAGGATTTCCCAGAAAAGGAGACAAGAAATTTATGCAGAAATTTAAGGTCCTCTAATCAGCATGCAGGGATACGAGGTTTCAAAGGGAAAGGTCAGACACAAATCACTATACTGAGAATGGTAAAAGATATCACAGCAAAATATTCACTCTGATAGTATAGAAATTAGAAGAGTTCCATAAAAACAATTATCAATTGATTTGTTTTGACATATTATCTTTTTTACAAACCAAAAGGACAAGAAGATAAAAACGGCATATGGAGGCTCCATTCCTATTCTCAAGGTTTGTCAAAACATTTTTTTTCTCAATGTCAAAATAGTGAACAACATTACAACACAAATACTCAAAAAATATGCAAGAAGCTGTCAGATTTAACATATTACAGAAGACCTTTAACAATCAACATGCAAAGAATACTATATGCAAAGTTAAAGAAAAAGTATAAGCAGAAAAAACAGACTGTGGGAGTCAAACAACGAGTCAATGAAATGTACTGGATGAATGAAATGTATTGGATGAATATCTCATACATGTGACCACAAAGATCAACTAATTTCCCAGGGTTGCTAACTGGAAAATCATAGTATAATTTTGATCCATTGAGATAAACCTGGAAAATCCAAAACTATAATAGAAAACCATAAGTTGGGGGAATGTGTTCACAATTCTTCAAAATGTACATGTTCAAGCTTCGAACAAAACTCATCCTAAAAGAAAGATCAAGATCTACAGACGAAGTCATAGATTGAGCAAATAGAAAGTAGTTTCAAAATGAAATCATATGTTGTATTAACATTTTGGGGCATGTGAGAAACCACATTAGTAGCAATAGTAACGAGAGCAATTAAACTGAAAAAGTAGTCCTAATACAAAAAGTATAGGAGCCAAGATACCTTCTTGTTTATGTGGATGACGTAATGACATCTCCACTATATTGCATTTTAACGACAGTGTGTAGTACCAGTATCATAAGACATGGAATATCTTTTATATTTTATAGGTATTGAGATTTGTGATTAATAAGACTTTCGAACATCACTTTAATTATGATAAGAGAATTCCACATAACTCATCAATAACATGGCAATTTGTACACCTCTTCAGCTCAACCCGAGTGATCATCATATGGTGAGTTTTCTTACTAAACCAAACTCACATTTGTATTGGTCAGACGACTCTCATATCTTTTACGATTACGGTGCTAGACAGTTATCATGAAATATAGGTTGTCAATCCATGCCATACAGGTTCTAATAAATACACAGATGACACCTATTTATCAAATCATCAAATAAATAGATTGATGTTGACTTATTCTGGATTCACAATGAAGTTATCACGACAATAGAAAGTATACTTTTGCCATCTGCATATTTAGGGATGCTCCTTCATTTCTTGGCACAAGAGGAAAGATGGTACATCCATGTTTAGCTAAATGCAAAACATAGATCTATGTTTTTCACTTCCAATGAGTAATCCTGGAACTCGAAGTATTTTTACCCACTCTTTATAAAGATAATACAAGTGTGTCCTATTTGCTTCTAATCCTATTTAAATATAGGGCAAACATATCAAAATTGATTTTTGTTATATCTATAAGAAATCACTTAGATGACATACTTCCACATCCACCTGTTTAGATCATATTTGTTTATAAGTCATTGAATAAGAAAGACAAACACTATTACTCAGAGGGAAAAAGCTATTAATTGTAAGTATCAATGATCAGTTCAAGTGGAGTACGGAAAGTTATACATAGATAGTCCATTTATTGTGCATAAGAAAAGTCAGTTCTTGTGAATTTGGAGAAGGGCTATTTTACTCTATTATTAAGATTGTTTCATCAATTAACAATCTTACAGATTCTAACCTTTTGATGATTTAAAATTAAGTCAATGAATTTCATTTCTCATACGTCACTCAACCTTAATGATCACATGGATCGCAAGCAAACCTGTATTAGCATAGAGTATCCATAAGGAGGAAAAGCACAACTAAAAAGGGCAAGGGTAGGCCCACAAGAATGTGGTTGGAAGTAGTCTAAAAAGATATGGGGACTTATGGCCTCACTAAGGATATGTCCTTTAATAGAGCAAAATGGAGAACCAGGATTCATGTAGCCGACCCCAATTAATTGGAAAAAGGCTAAAATGATGATAATGATAATGATCCATAAGGAGGAAAGGCAGCCCTGATTAAGTTCATATGCCACCCTAAAATTTCAGCCTAACATTCCTAAACAAATGTGACAAGATTCAAAGCCTAATCAACACTTTGAGATACCCCATTAGGCATCTTTACAAGACATCAACAAAGCCATTTTATTTTTTGAGAAGGTTAACTATATTGTATTACTATGTGTGAAATTACAAAAGTTGCTTCCAGGAATGGAAGACCACCTTGGGTAGAAGAAAACAAGAAAAGATAGGGGAAGAGAAGAAGTGAAAGCGAAGGGGGAAGGGGGAAGGGACTGTTGGTCTGAGTCTAGAAAAAGTACACTCAAACTGTGACATTTAGTGCCCCTTCTTTGGCTAGAGAGTCAGTATCAAAGTTGCTCTCTCTCCACACATGATTCCAAAAGAGTTTAAGGTCCCTTGTTATATTGGAAATTTCATCAAAAATTGGTAACAAGTACCAGGGGCATTCTAAGGAGCCTGATGCCCAGGATATAACACTGCATGAGTGACCTTCATCAACTAAACCATGGCTCCAGTTGTTATCGAAGAGTTTGTGGCCTTCTAAAAGAGCTAAAGCCTCTGCTGTTTGAGAGTCAGTGTGGGCTACATGCTTGGAAAAAGTGACCGGAATAGATCCTTCATGGTTTAGGAAGAGGCATCCAATTCCGGCTGGCCTTGGGTTGTCGAGTGAACAACCATCAAAGTTAAGTTTGAGTAAGCCAGGCTTCAGAGGGATCGAAAGGGAGGCACGAGAAATATGATGCTCGTTGAGGTGGAGAAAAGCTTGCCCATCTTGATGGAAAGCCGATGAGGGAAAGCCTTGAAAGAGGGGATGGTTGGAGGCCCAAAAGATCACCTTCACTTCGAGTTTTTCAAAGAGGGGGGGGGGAATGTTCACCTCGGAAGATCCTAGAGTTACGCTTAATCCACAGGAGCCAGAGTAAGGCAGCCGTAGCAGCCTTTCACAACAAAGTTCCTGAATTGGCCCAGGGGTAGGGGTGGAGTGAGGAGAAGAGGTGGGGGACAGAATGAGGGCTGACCCACTGTCATTTGAAGAGTTGGAGCAGTGCATTCCACAGTTCTTGCCCAAGAGGGCAGTGAAGGAAGACGTGACTGTTCATTTCTTCGTCAGCCAAACATCATTACACACCAGTTTGGTATGGCCAAGGCTCTCCTTTGCAATCGGTCCACCGTGAGGACTCTCTCGGCTAGAGCAATCCACATAAATACCTTTATCTTGGGGGTGCCGGGGTGTGGGGGGGAGGAGGAAGGAGTACCACACCATATCACCTATGGGAGCAGGAGCATGCAGGAAAGTAGGGGGTTCGATTAGCTTCCTGTAGAAGGAAGACACTGAGAATCTCCCAGATGGGGTTGGGCACCAAATAAGTATGTGTTCCCCAGAAGAAGGAAAGAAGGTTGAGTGTAGGAGATAGGAGAGCTCTAAAAATTCCTGCGATTCAAAGTCCGAAGGAGGGCGTTTGAAATTGGGGCTCCAGGTCCTAGAGCGACCCTAGGAGGTGAAGTGGTCTAGTTTTGATCTAGTTGAGGTCCTTTATCATAAAAACAATGTTAACAAACTTGGCTTCGGTTAGGGACAAGTCTCCCTTCAGAGCGGAGTGGAATCATGCACTTGCCCGAGTCCTACACGAGCCCAAAAAAGGCTCAGCAATCACAAAAAAGAGTACCAAAAAATTGCTTAAAATAATTTAAAATAGTGAAAAAGAAAAATATGTCATAACCATCATTAAAAGTCTAATCACCACCACACCGTCTAAGCCTTTTTCCAACTAATTGAGAAGGGCTACATGAATCATGGTCTGCCATTCTTCTCTATTAAGGGCCATACTCTCAGTGAGCCCATAAGGCCTCAAATTTTTTATCATAGCATAAGCACATACTATAAGTTCAAGATTCATAATAAGTTATGACAAAGTTTTACAGTGGCTACCTGCCTAACACAACCTAGCCCCTTTACCAAGGTATGAGATGGGTTAAGGGAAGGTTTAAGGTCATCACCCTTCTTAGAACAATCATTAAAAGTCTAATAAAAGATGAAAAGAATTATATAGAAGATGAATTATCAATGAAAAATTGATCTATAGCTTGAAACAATTTAGTAAATCCAAAAAAAGGAAAAATAGAAAATTAGAGCATGTCATCATCATCATCATCATCAAAGTCTTATCCCAACTAGAGCGTATAATAAGAAAAATTCACAAGTCATCTAAATCATTAATTAGTGATTTGTTAACAAAATTTGTTATTTTTAAGTGAATTTAAGAAACCCAAGACTGTATAAGAAATTATCCTCGACTGGGTACCTTTCTCAGTTGCTCAGTTGAGTCTAAGTCGACTCAGGCGAGTTTTGAAACGCTACATAAAAGACATCAATTGAGCATTGAATTCAGAATTCGTAATAAATCAGCCCTGTATGGTTTTAGAGAGTATAAACTTAGTGGGGAATCTAGCACTCTTCAAGAATGGGCAAATTACTAGAGAAAAAAAAAAAACTCTTTAATCAGGACTTTCAGTGCACAAGAAAATGCATCAGTGGCATTAGTGATTTCTGTTGGACTTTCACTTTCAGTCGTCTGAATGAATGCATAAAACTCAAAATGCAGGTCCATACAGTGCACGATTTCCACTTGTACTTTCAATAGCTTCCACTATTTGATCTGCCTACATATTCATCTAAAAGTCAATGAATTGAATAATTTGCACTAAAACGCCAATTATACAGACCCATCTAAACAAGTTTCAGTATTTCTAGAACTGCAAAGGTCAATCAGAAAAAACCCAATTGCAGATTTCCACATTCATCACAAGAGCTTAATCACCATCAGCACCAAACCCATTGGGTTAACCAAATGGCTAAAATGCCACTTATACAGACCCATCTCGACAAGTTTCAGTATTTCTAGAACTGCGAAGGTCAATCAGAAAAAACCCAATTGCAGATTTCCACATTCATTACAAGAGCTTAATCACTATCAGCACCAAAACCATTGGGTTAACCAAAAATGGCCAAGTAATTTCGTTTTTAAAAACAATTCTCCAAAATTACTCATTTCCACAAAAAATCATCGAGATAGAGTTCATGTTGGTGGTTTATATCTTCCAAGCATCAGAGCGATACTAGTCTCCAGGACTCAAACAATCCAAGCCTAGTAAACTTCCATAACAAAGTTGCAGAGATTACTATAAGCAATCTCAGAGCACATACCATGCATTTGAAAGAAAGCACTAAAAAGGTTGCAGAGAGAAGAAGAATGAGGATTTTACCCCCTGAAGTGAATGATGAAGCATGAGAAGCACAGAGAGGGCGGATACTGCGAAACCTGAAGGGGAAGGCGTTGAAGAGTCTCAAAGTGAGCCTCAAATGGGGGCAACAGAATAGCACTGAAGCACTTGTAGGCATGTTGAGAGAGCGAAAGAGGGACGCAGAGGGGCGCGGAGAGTAAGTGGGGTCGTACCCAACGATAAAATACGTGCAAAAAATGTTTTACAGTTTTCAGGACTACGAGAAAAGCTTACACTCGGAGTCATCGCCATCCATTGAATGATTGATGGTCGATGGTGGAGAGAGCAGGACTACTAGAAAACATCATGTTGAACTCAACTCTACTCTGGTAACGGTGGGGCCACGACCCGAACGGTTTATTGTTTCATTTTTTTCATGGTTCATGCTTTTGGACTGGATATCATGAGACCATTTACCGTTGCACTACCTCTTGCCATCATGTGTCAAATTGGATAGCTGTTGTGTCATAGAGTTTGAGAATGTTTTTTGTGTTGTAAGCCTAATTTAAAATCATATACTGATAACTAACTGATTTATTGATGGATAATAATAATTGTAACCTCTTTATATAAAAAAAATCTTCCCTATTGAAGGCAAACAGGGCAAACTCAGCTGATTGACTATTTGTGTTTTCGTGGCAGTATCATAGAAATCCCCATCTTTTAAAAAGCCCATTCCCAAATGGGACAAATAAAAGACATGCTCAGATAATTCCCCATTATTCTTACAAAACAAACAAATATTAACCAAAATTCTACTGTATTTCTCAAGGTAATCCACATTAACAGCTCTCCCTTGCATCACAATCCAAATTAAAGCTTGCACTTTATGGAGAATGGGGTATTCTCAAAATCTTTTTTACTTTTGGTTCCATCCATCTTAAATGACCATGAAATAACAAGCGATATGTTGATTTAACAAAGAACATTCACATCATATTCTCTTTCCCAAAACACCTCATCTTTTGCATTTTGCACAATATAAACATCATCCAGCCGCTTCAAATATCAATAAGTTGCGAGAACTAAGTCTGAGACCCTATTGCAAGAGCATTCTATCCTCTATACCATTCCTTGTTCAAGCCCCTCGTTCATCTCAATGACTTTGTCCATAGGGTGGTTAACTTTAGAAAATAAATATAGAAAAAGAGTCTTCAAATGCCTGTCTCCAATCCACTTGTGATGCCAAAATGAAATCTTATCCCCCTTCCCTACCATCTAACATATATTTCTTTCAATAATCAATTTACATGCCATAATACCTTTCCATATATGAGATTGAAAGGCTGCTACTCTTCCTCTTTCAATAAGTTGTGAATTACATTATTCACCATGCTTTGCCACGAGCACTATCCTCCACAACTATTCGTCACCTTATATAGATATTCACCACCACTTGGCTAATAATGCTCTATTGACAAGCTTCATCTTTCTAATACCAAGGCACCTTCCATCTTTAGAGATCAAGCTCTATCCAAACTAACCAAAAAAAAAATTTCTCATCCTCTTCTCGATCTCTTTGATAACTACACTAGGCATGTTCAAGAGAGTCATTTGATAAATTGGAAGATATGCCAAGAAAGACATGATCCATGTTATTCGGCCCTATATAGATAAAAATCTAGTCTTCCACATATTTAATTTAACCTAAATCTTTTCAAAACTGAGTCCCACGTTGCTCTAGGTAGTCGGTAGTTCAAGACAGGTAGACCCAAATATTTGATAGGAAATTTTTCTACAAGGCAACCCATATAAGAAGCTGAAAAGTTCACCAATTCACTCCTAGGCCCCACTTCCATCAAAGATGTTTCACCAAAGTTCACCTTCAACCCAAAGCCATCTCACATTATCTCAAAAAAGTTATAATGTTACTTATCTGGTCCATCTTTGTATCACAAAATATCAATCGGTCATCCACATACTGCAAATGTGATGTATAAGGGCAACTAAAAAAAACATTAAAGCCTTTAAAATGTCTCAATCCCTCCACATTCCTTAACATCATGCTAAATGCTTAAACCGTTGAAGTAAAGAGAAAAATAGATAGAGAGTCTCCCAGCTTAATCCCCCTTGATGCTTTAAAAAAGAAAACTTTTAAGGAAGCCATTAATCAATATCGAGAAATGAGCGCTAGATAGGCAGCCCAAAATCCAACCCCTCTATTTTTTGTCCAAATCCCATGCAACCCATAATCTTATTTAAAACATCTCATTCTGCTCAATCATAAGTCTCTCCATATGTAACTGCAACAAGACCTGTAGTTCTCCACTCAACAATCTCGCATGGATACATTCCTAGGCATTAACAATGCTACCAGTGATTAACCTATTGTCGTATAAAAGTTGTTGAAGGACCTAAATTCATCAACAAAAGCACCCATTTGAGCCTTTCAGCTAAAGTTTTTTAGATAATCTTGTAAAGCCTAGTAAGAAAGCAGATAGGTTTATATAACTATTGCATGAAATCAAAATATAAACAATGACTAACTACTTGTAGATGCTTGCTTTGTCTTATTCCGAGTATATTGCGGTGTACAACCTGAGCTATGAGCCAAATGAAGAGCCTCCTAGTTTAATATAATGTTTTTACATGTTTAGTTATTTTTATGCAGCATGGGCAACATGTTTATGCTATGGATTCCACTATATGCCTTAAGTGGGTCATATACTGCACAACATTATTATTTGTGATACTTACTCCCTCCGTGCCGCATTCATGTTTTTACCCATGACATGTCCTATCTTTTTTTAATTGATGGATAATGAAATTGGTAATAATTACTCTAAATCATAAAAGCAAAATGTGTAAGTATTCATATGGTAGTTGATCTAAAAATGTGGTGCAGAACATATCAAGACACTGCATACTCTATGAATAACTCTTGCATTCTTGATTGGTCATGCTTTTGAGTCCTAAAATTTGCAATAGATATAGTTTATACATACACCTCAAGAAACCAAAATGAAAATTAAAAACAAAAATTGATGCATCTACAATATAATTGCATACTTCTCTCCCTAGCCCTTCAACCAAGTTTCTCTCTAATCTTTCAACCAACTTATCTTGCTCTCCTTTGTGTAGAAACTATTATCTATCTACTATATATTAAGTGAGAAGGAGACTTGTCCTATTTTTATGACCCGTGTCCCTCTCCCTATTTTCTCTCTTTCTAAAAAATAGTTCAATTGTTGGCTCTGATTTCAAAAGTTTCAAACTAAAAGTTCCCACCTCCTTAAATCTCTCCAACAATATCTCTCCTCAAATTAAGTATCAACGTAATTTCTTTCCGCTCTCATTTTTTTCTTCCCTCTCACTCATCACTCTCTCCTAAATCTCTCTCAATATCTCCGTAAATATCTCTTTCTTTCTCTCATTAAATGTCTCTTCCTCTCCTCCCTTCTCCCCTCTCTCCTTCTTGATGCTCTCTCCCTTTCTCTCTCCATGCACCCTCTCTCTCTCTCAAGGTTTATTCCCTTCTAAAGTCTCTCTTGTTATTTTCTATCTTATTTTGTGTTATTTTAATTTTAATATGTTTTTTTTGTCAGATTGTGATTTATGGCCAATATACCAGTTAATCATTGATATGTGGACGCTGTCAAATTTTAAGCATCCTTTTAAAAGTTTAGGTAACAAAATGAGTTTCTTTTATTTATTGTAGTATTTATTTTTATTTTTGTTGTTTTCTATTTAACTTAGTTGTATTTTATTTATTAAATTTATAAATTTAATTTATTCGAATAATGATAATAGTATTTACTGATTTTGTTTTTTTATAGCAGCTAATCATAGATCTCTAGACGGTATCAAATTTTAAATACCCTTTTAAAATATCAGGTAACAAAATGTATTTCTTTTATTTATTGTAGTTTAATACTATATTTATTTGTGCCATTTTTCACTTGACTTAATCATATTTTATTTATTAAATTTATAAATTTAATTTATTGTATGACTCATAAATAAAGAAGATATCATTTGGCTTCAGTAATTGTGGTTGACTAA